GATGTGTGGGGAGAGAGAGAGAGAGAGAGAGAGAGAGAGAGAGAGAGAGAGAGAGAGAGAGAAAAAGAGAGAGAGAGAGAGAGAGAGAGAGAGAGAGAGAGAGAGAGAGAGAGAGAGAGAGAGAGAGAGATAGAGAGACAGAGAGAGACAGACAGAGAGAGAGAAAAACAGAGAGAAAGAGAGACAGAGAGACAGCGAGAGAGAGAGACAGAGACAGAGAGAGACAGAGGGAGAGTGGTTGGTTATTGAGCAAGGCTCGGCTACGCCGCGCGTCTGGCGGCGGCAATGCTTACCCTTAAGCAGTGTGAGCGGCGTCAGCTCCTGTCCGCTGTGGATGCGGTACTGCGATGAGCCCTGCGACCGCTTCTCCTTCCTCCGCAGCGACTTCTTCGAAAACGGGTCGATCTTGTCGACGAACGTTCCCGAAGACATGATCACACGGCGCGCTGTTCGAACGTTCCGCTAGCTGCAGTGTCGGCGTCGTCGGGCGAGGCGGGGGATGTTCGGGGCGTTCCTCAGAATGTTTGGTTTTTCCAGCCTCAGCCTCGTCGGGTCCGGCCAGATCTCGAAAATCGCTGCTCGTTCCGCGCGGTTGGAAGGTTCATTATTCGTTGTGGTTCACGTACGTGTGCGGTTCTTCGTGAGTTTGCGAACAACAAGTTTCTTTGGAAGTTCTCCGAACGAGCATTCGCACGTGCCTTCACGGGTCTGCTACAATCCTGGTCAGTGCTGCAACTTCATCGTTCTGCAAAATTGAACCAACGCAGTTTTTTTTAAACTTTAAAACGGATCGTACATGCACGGACGTATAAATTGGAGACCTCCATGCGCGCTAAATAATAAACATGCATGCATGCACACCACACATATATATATATGCACACACACACACATACATTAACACGTACACCACACACATAAGCACACACGTACGAACGCACGCGCGCACACACACCCGCATGCACACTCAAGCACACACGCACGCACACCCACATACACACAGCCATGCACACCTGAAAACACACACGCACGGGCACCTCGCACACATGCACAGACACATGCACAGACACATGCACACACCACACTCACGCATGCACGCAACGCGTACACGTGTACATACGTACGCATGTACATCGGGCGACAGGCAGTCTACTCTTTTTTATAACTGTAGGTAGTATTCGATATACTCCCTACTTCGCAGAGTTACAGCCGTGTACAAGACATGTACAGTCACACACGTACCCGTAGCTAAATTTAGCTCTCAACCTGATAACCCGAGGGGACCTGACATTCAAGATATATGTGACCCGCTCCAGCATAATACGGACTAAGTCGCAAGTCATTGTTTTGAGTAAGGCCAAACAAAAAAATAGGTGTGTTTCCTTTTGCATCGAAAACAAAAGTAGGGTAGGTAGGTAGGGATTTCTTAAATTTTTTTAAATTTTGTTTATTCTTCGGTTCCTAATATCCCTCTGATGCATGCTATAAAGTGGTGTATAGGTAGGGATAAGTTAGTAAGCAAGTCCAGAACGTGCTTGTTGTAAAAAATCAAAAGTTTTGTCTGTCAGATTCCAAATTTTTTTGGGGGGGGGGGAAGTTTAGGGTCGGCCCTAATAATCTAGGGACGGTCGGTCAACCGGAAACACACCAATTTTTTTGTTTGACCTAATGAGCACGCACACATGTCAATGCTGAAAATGGCCTACCTGGACAAAAATGAGATTTTTACAAAAATAAGTTCCTAAGTGCATATTTAATCCGGATATATAAGTTCAGATATCTCTAGATTATTATGGTCATTTTTAATTTAAAAAAATAAAAAATTTTGAATGGCCCCTGACCGCTCATCCCCGACTGGCCCCCTTACCCGGAACGCTTTATCTCAAAAGCTGCATATTCCGAAATAAGTCGGTTTCCGATCTTCAAATTGCTGTAGATCGGTCAATTCTTTAGATATAGCCAAATATTATATATCATTTTAAAGGTAATTAAATGATCTATTCAGATATGCACATAACTCAATTTGTAGAATTTCCTACTTAATCCTGGTTTTGCTGGATCGGGTCACATGTGTCCGTAACACGGTAACGTTGACATTTGTTGTGATTCGCCCAATAAATTCGCCACCAGCATCATTGCCAATTTACAGCACAAAGCTAGCAATGCATACATGTATTGAATCGAACCTGAAAAAGCTCCTGACACGTGGCTCGATTATTCATGGAACTAAGTCTAGAATTTTTTCAGCTCCACGAGTAGAGCTCTCTAAGAGCTTGATTATTAGAACCTTGCCACACTTGCCAGCTCGGTTCAGTTTCGGCAGTGGCAAGAAATCAATGCGAAACTCTCTCAGAGAGAGAGTGCCAATTTAATTACAGATGAATTACACTGGACAAATTGTACAGCTACGCAACTACTGGTACAGATTCCGATTGCTATACACAGCCATGCAGCCTCACCCTTGCTTACCCCATATCATTATCAATATGAAATGCAGATAACACAGATTTGGTTTTCATGTTAGTTCATACTCTCGCTACGTGCACACAGGACTTTAGCCCTTGGCCAGCCGACGATGACAAGAAATCAATGCGCAAAAAATAGATAACGAGAACTCGGGCAAATCGCATATCTGTTGATTTACTTTTCATTTTAAAGTTCGAATGCGATAATCTGGCGAGATAATTGGAACAATGGATACTGCCAATGCTGCTGTACCTACGCTTCAATTATAAACACAAGAGCCGCAGAGCGACTGGGCTCATCTGAGGTCTGTTGCTACGGTTATAAACGTAACATTTCAGTCGTGCGTAGTGACACCTTTGTTAGGCGCAGATATGCAGATACGCAGTTGCGTCCACATCATTTCAACAAACATTTTTATTATTGCAGAGAGAGAGCGAGAGAGAGGAAGAGAAAGAGGGGGCGAGAGAGAAAGAGAGAGAGAGAGAGAGAGAGAGAGAGAGAGAGAGAGAGAGAGAGAGTTTGCCAAGTATCGCCAAAAGAACACTACACGTGCATATACCAAATGAATCAGTATATCGTCCCCTTCTTGTAACCATCAGTGCGCTACGATGCGCTGGTACTTACGGGGTTACAGCGACTTTTTGGAGACGAAGTGCAACAAAATTTATGAATTCGCCGCCATGTTTGCTATCATTCCGACGTGTGATCTAAAATCGCGCAATGGATCCGAACAAGCGAAATTAAACGATCTGCGGTCCTCATGTAAACCACCCCAACATCCGAGAACATGTCATCTAAGTTTTTACAAATGGCCCAGACATTTGTGAACATCGTTTCACTTGCTTTGGTGTGTAATTGCCCGTGAGACGCCATCGTACTATTTCTGTAGTATTTTCTAGCGAGTCTTTTTCGTTTCGGGTTTCGCGTGCCTCGCTAAACATGGCGGGTAAAGCCGACTGGAAAGTTGATATGCTGTGAGAATTAGCAGATTATAACCGTGAATTAAGAGATACATTCTAGTTTAGAAGCAGGAAAAACTGTGAGTTAACGTTCATATTTCAACAACAAGGCAAGTCAAAGTGTGGCTAATAGAATAGTTTATTTGAGATATACAGAAGTTATTCACTAGATCTGCCAGAGGTGATAGTTTTTTGTATGGAAGGGTGTCAGCTGTATAGACAATCCGTCGGCACAGACCTGGTCGGGCTACTTTGCTTTTGATAAAGATCACTATAGTATGGAGCTAGTCTAGAAGACATGACCCATTGTGTATTGTATTGTAGACATGAAGTATTGTGGGACATGTCTTCTAGACTAGGGCCAGCGTCATGCGTTGTCAACTCATGACTGAATGTGAAACTATGTCCCGAGACCCCCACCCCAATCTTCTCCAAGAAACGTTCACACATTTCATACCGTTTTAATTTTAGTGCTTGTCTAAGAAGCATAATCTGTGGCTTACACAACCATATGGCCCGCATTTCTGGTTTTAGCACCCTGGATTAGTTTAGCACTATATGGCCGAACTATATACACCTGGATCTCAAACTAGGATGAGCAGTACGCATACAAGTTTCATGTCAATTC